TAACGGAGTGTAAAGATGTGGACAGACTTGTTTTGACCTAACTAATTTTATTACTGATCTCGTCTAACAGAATTAATTCATGATTATTACGGAGATAGCTAAGCCGAACATAAAAGTAAATAATAATCAAATACAAATCTTTCCTTCTAACTTATTCCACTTGAAATAGCAATATTGTTCTCTGTTCATTCATGATAATTTATACAAAATTCCTAGAAGTGAGATTATAGCCCAAAGGCATACAGAATCCTAAACCTGTTGACATTTATCATCAAATTGCCTGCAGTAATCTATCAGTTTGAAAAGCCTCCTTTGGTGCCTCAGAATTCGTGCAGCCTCCTCTTCCTAATGCAAACAGTGATTAAAATATGCATTGTGATTTTATAGATAGTTTTGTGTTTATTTCATTTTCCTGAACAAACTTGTAGACTTTGTTCATCCTTAGTTCCCTTTGTCCGGTCAGATGTCATCCGGTTTGTTTTCTTTCCTAGCCCTGAAGGTTCTAGCTTGGCTTTCAGGGGACCTCATCCTTGCATATTCTAGTATGTTCTTCTACAGGATAGTGGAACATGAACCTGACCTTTTCCTCCTCTGTGATTCTTTGTTTTAATACACAGCTCCCACCACCAGCCCATTCCTGCACGTTACTTTAACATACTTTAAAACTGTTTAAGGAGACACTAATGGATGATGTCATTCCAGGAAAAGAGACACATTTGTTAAAGGCTCATAACTCATAGGAAGCCAAGTTATGTTGGCACACCCATAGTGATAGTACTGGAAAGGTAGAGGCAGGAGGATGGTTAAGAGTTCCAAGCCAGTCGAGGGTTTCTTAGGGAGAAGACATGGCCTCAGAACAAGCAAACAGACAGACACATCAAAACCCAAAACAAAATAAAAAACTGAGATGAATTGTAAGGGGCTGTGTTAATTGGTGCTAAAAGCAGGTTTTCGGTCAAGAGCTCTGCTCTAGTCCTTTGCAGATCCCAGCAAGGTAAGCTGGAAGGACCCCACGCCTGCAGCGGCCAGAAGCGCGGGAGTAGAAGCTGTAGCGATAGACAGTCACAAGGTAGCTGTGCTTATGAGTTCACACCTACTCACTCAGAAAAGGACAACTAAATCTACACATGCACTCATTTGATCAAAGCTATAAAATGCTCACTTAAAACATTAAATATTCCTAACTTCCCCTTTTCGACACAACGCCCTTGTGAAGAAGTATCTAAGAGTCTTTCTCCTATGTGGAATTTGGCACATGTGCATGCATGCGTGTCTGTCTGTGTGTGTGTGTGTGTGTGTGTGTGTGTGTGTGTGTGAATCCTATGATTAACTTAAAAGGTGGGGTAGCTATAATCTTTGTAAAACTTAGACATGGACAGTGTGCATTCATTTGGGCAGTGGCTAATGTAGTCACTGACCGGGATGCACTACTGTGTCAGTTCCAGCTCTGGATTCGTGTTTCTTGACAAATCTCTTGCAGTAATTCTTATTAAAGATACTGGTTTAAAGATGCCAGGCTTGGAAGTTAAAAATTTGCAGTGCTTACAGACAGCAGCAGAGGTGTGTGTGTGTGTGTGTGTGTGTGTGTGTGTGTGTGTGTAACTCATTCAGTTATCATCTGGGCTTGGAATAACCAGGAATCAAGGAGCCAGATCTGGGTGACGGGGCAGGGTAGGGCATTTTCCAACATGAAGTCTTAACGCTCTACAACTGACTTACAGAGTGAGTGTCACTGAGTTGTGCAGGGCACCTCGCGTGTTCAGAGGGACGGATGGGCTCACCATTTGCTTTGCCTCCCTTTGGCAAGAGCAAAAGTTTGGGCTGTGGCCAGGTCTGAGGTATGATTTCCTAATTGTTTTTTATTTTTAAAAACATCCTAGGAAGATAGATGAGGAGAACCAAGGTTATACATTTCTTGCATCCAGAATGAATTTTTGAAAGTACCAAAACCTGAATGTTTTTGTACATTGAGATCTACAAATGAATATGAACACCCCTGCTCGAGTGACGTCAAGTTTTCTCTGCAGATATGAGTGACATTGGGGGAGCACTCAGCCCTGATTGCCTGGAGAAGGGAAGGGATGGGTGTAGCAGGCAGGTGATTAAGAGTGAGGAAGATGATTCTGGTGGTGTGATGTTAAGGCCATTACAACGACCCGGGTTCATTTCCAGTGTGTAAATATGTTATTCTTTCTATTCAAACATCACGCAGACCACCTGTTAGTACAGGTAATTGACATTCCAAGCCAGAATCAGAGACGCTTTTATGCAAACACATTTTGGGAGCGTTCACTTTAAAATGGAATTTAGCTAGCCTAATGAAAACAGCATACAAAAAGACCCTAGCACCTTCTGCGAGGGGTCCAGACTCAAATAACTGTAGAAAATGGGACTTAAAAGAAAATGTGGGTAGGTTCTTTGTCTCCTAGGAAACTCTTCATTTCCGACTTGGGAACCGAGCGGGCCAGTCCCCTGCCTCACGCACATTCCTGCCCACTCCCGGGCGTTCCAACAGGCAAAGATGGAACTCTGTTCTTTCTTTTATGTGGCTGGACCGTTTGTTTCTCTCCTGGCAACAGCTTCTCCACCCTTCATCCTCTCTGCTTTCTTCCGGGCCTGGGAACTGAGCGGCCAGGCGCAGTGTGGCTGTCCCTTTGCCCGGTTTCGGGTCCCCCTGTGCAGGCACGCATTCATAAGCGTTTCCCAACACCCACAAGAGCACCAGAGGCCGGGACGCCTCATAAATATTTAGAAGCTCCCACCGCCTTCCAGAGAGTAGGGGGAGGGGGTATTTAGTGCGGAGTCGGTCGGGGTGATATGCATGTGAATCAGAAGGGGGGACAAAGGATGAAAGGTGCTGGAAACTCCAACAAACCCGTGATCCCCCGGGGGGTCATTCTGCCGGTTTCTGCCCACACTATCCCGAGCCTTCCTGCGCATGAGCGAACTGAGCCCGTTTCCAAAGACAGTTGGCAAAGGATGTGTGTTCTTTGTTCTGTCCTGCACTTTCTTACAGACGGATTTGCCTTGCCCTCTCCCCTGGGCTGGCGGCTGCCTTCTTCTCTGCCACCCACAGCAGTGAGGCGTGTGGATGTAGGGATCTACACTAACACATAAGGCAAGTAAAGGAAACAGAATGTGTTTTTGTTGGAAAAGATGTACACAAAACCACTTTGTGGATCATAGACAGTACATGGACACTCTCTACACCGTCAGGTTGAGTAACTCCACAAACGTTCTTCTGATTGAACCCAGGATCCCAAGAGAAAGTCTGCACACAGTTTTACACACACACACACACACACACACACACACACACTCACACAGAACTCCTAGGTCTTACTTTGGAAGGTGTGGTGTGCACGGTGCAAAGGAAAGAAAGGGGCTCAGAGCTCAAGAGAGGAGGCTTAAAAAGTCTTCTTTTTCTTTTCTTTACGAAGAACTGTCTCCCTGGGAAGACAACCTAAAGCAGGAAGTTAATTCAAGGGCAGAAACATGGTTGGTTCAAACCGGTGGGACTGTCCCCAAGTCTAAGTCCCCAGCAAAAGTCTTGTAATGCTCTTTCAGTGACTGAGGCAAAACAAACAGATTACAGGTCTTATAAACTATTCTGCTCAGTTTGGGGAGTAAGCTATACGACAAGGAGAGCCTGAATAGTTAACTGGAGGAAAGAGCTTTCTTTGGTATTTCACATTTGGAAATACCTGGGATTGCAGCTATGTTGCTTTAAATGAAAGTGTACAGATAGCTGTGGTTAAATTTTTATATCCTGTGTTAAATTAAGGAAACATTGGAGAAAATGTGCAAAAATTCACAAAAATTTCCAATCTCCTCCCAGTCTCCTACTTATTTTAAGAAACTTTATTTTAATAAAGCCAGGTGGTATGGCAGCAGCACACCTCAGAAGCAGGTGGATCTCTGAGTTCAAGGCCAGCCTGGACTACAGAGCTAGTTCCAGGACAGCCAAGGCTACAAAAAGAAATCCTGTCTTGAACACTCTCTCCCCTACCCCCACCCCCAAGAAAAGAAAAAGAAAAAAAGAAACCCTTTAATAAGGCAGGAGTTCACTGGAAAGGAGCATGGGTGATAGCTCTGCTTGTGTTTAAGAGGATCTTGTAAAGCCAGCACAGCAGCGAGACTATCGCCAGCTGCGGCCACACAGGACGAAGGCCTAATATGATCCCTGATCATTTAGAGAATGTGTACAATGAAGATGGGATTGTCAAGACAGGTCTCAGGGAGTGGGGTGTGTGTGTGTGTGTGTGTGTGTGTGTGTGTGTGTGTGTGTGTGTG